ATTAAATAATGAAGAATCTGCATGTATGCTTGTAGGTTCCTCGCATTGTGGGAAAAAAAAAAAAAAAACATCGATACCTAGAGCCATCAAATTTTGAATAACGTAATCTTCCACCCGAACATGGGCCCCTTGAAAACCGAATTTTGAATTTCGAACTTGTTTTATTAGTCATTTCATATTTTGTAAAACTTTAATTAATTTTCGATTAACATGCTCAACGATTTGAAAACAAGCAATGGCAACACTATTCAAAATAAAGCATTCTTTTCTCCAGGAAGCAAGACTGTTGCCATTCCGAAAAGGGAAAGATATTTATTTATCTTTCAGTTTTAATTAAAAAGCTCGGCTGCATAAAAGTACGTGTTGCCGGAAATCAAATGCTTTTATCTTCCACCCGCCAGCGTGTTGCCATTCAGTAAAGCTTAAGATGCTTTCAAATTTAATCTGATAATAAACTAAGTGATTTAAAAACAATAAACACATTTCTTAAGAATATTTTTTCCTCCTTTTTAATGTGATTGATTTAAATAAACATGCATTAAAATTCAGTATTTTCATGAAGTTACACCAGCGAGAGTCCCTAAAACCATTATATACTTTTTCGTTTTTATAATTATTTAAGTCGACTGAACGCACAAGCGGCTAAGTTTTAAAGAAATAATATAGCGATTATAAAAATACATATGGCACTATCATAAAAACACGTGTGGCAAAAAAATAAAAATACATGTGGCACTAAACACGCTATCGGGAATTCTAAAGATACGCTGTTTTGAAATATTTTGTGATTTTCTGTTGAACTGAATTTTATGTGGCGTAAGTCCGAAGAACGTGACATTTAATAAATAAAAGTTACACATAAAAAATAAATAATAAAACGAAAATTTTGTTTTGTTAGCCATCTTACTAAGAAAACTAGATAAACTGAGAAAAGACTGAAAAAATATAAAAATGTATATCAACGCTTAATAGTGCATCGGGAATTCTAAACATACCCTGTTATGCAACATTTAAAAATTTTGCGATTTTTTGTTGAATTGCGTGTGGGGTATAGGCGAATGAGCTTTGAAAGATGTTAAGAAAACGATGCTTAATTATAAAGCTAAAAACACAAATAAATAAATAGGATAAAAAAAATTAAAAAAGGGGGGAGGTGAACTCGGCGAGAACGTAAAAAAAAACCTTACAATTCTGTTGCACTGAAACCTTTCAGACTTTTTTATCATGCCCTCCCCCTCCCAACGAACGGTTTTAAAAGATCAGTTTTTCATTGAGTGCCGATTTAAAGACTCCGCAGACATATTTGGCTGCTTGCCGAAAAGACATGGAGAAGCTGCAGATTTGCAATTTCAAACACTCAGTTATTTCCTTGCAGAAAGGAATTTAATAACAGCAAGATGTTTTTATTTATAAGTTAGTTTTGGAAACAATGTTACTGAGCTTATAAGCGCAACATATACATATGTATATATGTTATCGGGAATACATGAAACACCGGCATTCTATAGAATACCTGGCGTTTTAGGTAACATATGAAATATGAGAATTGTTATGTATTACATAGGCACTGTACATAATACCTAGGTATTCCATAGAATAACAAATGCTCTTTAGGGAAAGCTTCGATAAAAGGTCATGCTAAGGGTATTATTTAAAAACGTTCATTCATGAAAAATACAAATGTTATTTTGAAAAACGTATATGTAATATATATATATATATATATCTATATGTTGTATGAACTTAAATCCATTTAGTGCGAATACAAGTTATTATTACTTGCGCAATTGCTGCAAAGTTAGTTAATAATAATTTATTTCCTAAACAGTATTGATTAATTGATTATATTATCTCCTAAGTTTAATTAAAGTAGAATTATTATAAAAGTGTGCATCCGATAATCTGAAAGGTTTTAGATTTTAAATTGCGTCTAAACGGGCTTTTCTTTTTTTTTTTTTTAATTTTGTGTTACCTTTATTTATTAAATATCATGTTCTTCGCACTTAAACCATCAAATTCAGTTCAAGAGCAATATCGCAAAATAATTTTAAATTGGGCATATTTTAGAATTTCCGATACATAGTCTCGCGCGCTGGACATAAAATGGTTTTTTGTATACATCATTGCCATTGCTCTCTTTGAAATTCTTGAGTTTGTTAATCAAAAATTCGTTAACGTTTTACAAACTAGGAAATCTATAATAAAAAAAAATCCAAATTTCAAATTTGGGCTATCAGAAGCCCACATTCGCAGTAGGATTACGTAATTCTAAATTGGTTGGCTCTAGGTACCGTTGTTTTACCACTCTGCAAGAAACATGCATGCATTTATGCAAATTCTTCATTATTTAGTTACTTAAAATATAATACAGGATGATAATACTTGGTGGCAACAGTTTGAAAAGTGAAACGAACATTTAGCGTGATTCGCCGCAAAATCGCTAAACGAAAACAATAGTCCCTCAAGGACAAAGCCCCTTTAGACTAAAAATAATGAAATACCATTAAAAAACTTTTATTCAAAATACGTAAAAAAAAAAGAATTTAGTGAGATGATTTTGGCACACCATAATAAATTTCTATTCTCTATCTGACTGAGATTGTAAATCAATGAGATCTACTTGACAACCCGAGTTAAAATTTAGAAAAAAACATATGTTTCACTTTTTTACAATGCCCTTTTTAATACCTTTTTGTTTTTTCTGGCAGAGCTCATAAAGTATGTACAGTTACTGTGTATGTACAGTTCAGTTACAGTGTATGTACAGTTCAATATCACTATGTGTAACGTTTTTGTATGTGGTTGAAATTTCTTTCGACATTCTGTCATGTCCTTCGTTTCCAACGGCTAGAGGAATTTTATGAAGTACATGAAATAACTCTTAGTCCGTGACGTAATACTGTATAGTACTCATAATTTCTTTAAAAGGATAAATGTGTTTACTTTTTTCCCTCTACAGAATCACGTCATAGCGATTCAGTAACCAATAGTTCCGTAACTTCTTCTTAGGCATTTTGGCTTACCCCCCCCCGTAATTTATTAACCTATGGTAAGTATTTCCGGTTATTCGAAACAAATCGGAAATGTATTTCATACTTTGCCGGTTTGTCATTTGGCATTCTGCAGAACGCCTAGGCATTGTGTAAATGTTTAACATAGCCGGCCAGTTTTCGGCATTCTACAGAATGACAGATTTCATACGTTGCTAGTAACATATACAATCGCAAACTTTCAAACGGTTTTTCTAGCCTAGAGGGCGTTAGCCCAGAAGGGCTATTAATTTGGTTTTGGCATTTTGGGTTGGTTCACTATAAATGTCGGTTCACTTTTCAAATTGTTGCCAACAAATATTAGAGCTGTGTGCATTATTTAAAGAAATTAAATAATGAAGAATATGCATAAATATATATATGTTTTTCGCATTGTGATAAAAACAACGGTACCTAGAGCCATCCAATTTCGAATAGCGTAATCTTCCACTGAATATGGGCATCTGGAAGCCCGACTTTGTAATTTGAAATTTGTTTTATTACCGATTTCATATTATGTAACACTTTAACGAATTTTTGATTAACCAACTCAATGATTTCAAAGCGAGCAATGGCAACACTGTATGGAAGGAAAAAACATTTTTTTGTTTCCAGCGCGCGAGACTGTGTATCAGAAATTCTAAAGATATGCTCATTTTAAAATTCTTTTGCGCTATTGCTGTTGAATTGAATTTTATGGTTTAAGGGCGAAGAACATGATGTTTAATAAATAAAGTTAGCACACAAAAAGTTATAAAAAAGAAAAACGCCCCTTTGGGCATAATGTAAAATCTGAGAGATTTCCGATTTTGTTTTTTTAATAAAATTTTTGTATTATTGATTTGAACTTAGCAAGTACTTTTCTCTAACTACTTGTGGCAACAAAGTGAAGTATGTTTTTGGCGATGTTTAGCTTTAATTTGGCGTTAGATTAAGTTAAAAAGACAAGAAATATTGTGACATGAATATCTTTACATAGAAATCGAATATGTCGCTCTTACAACTGTCGCTTTGCTTAGATTAGCCTCTTAAATTACCTCTTAGATTCTTTGACTGTTTACTTGTTAAAAGTGAAACAGAAATAGATAAAAGATATTATGATTATAATTGCAGGAAACAGCAGAGAGAAGACAACGCAACTCCAAAATCATCTACTGATACTAAGTGATACAAGTAAGCATATTCAAACAAAATAAACTCAAGTAAATCAATAAAAATAAGCCGCCATTTCAGAAATGAGTTTACAATTTCTGTCATAAGTAGTATAACAAACACTATAAGTAGTATAACAAATATTACGTACAGTTGTACATCTATTTAGTCTATTTATGATATATGCCTGTCTTATAAGTTTCTAAGCAGTCATCTTCCTCCTACCCCCTGCTTCACGGAAAAGAATTTAAGAATGATGTTCGGTTCTGCGGATATGTTAATGGAGTTAGAATTCCTGAAACCGATTGCAGTGATAACGTAGTTAATGTTCTTTCCAGAACGAAAACAGTCTTTGAATTGATACGCGGAAGATACCTATAAAATATTTTGAGAGAAAAAAAAAAAATCTTACGCAATAAATATTTTAAAAAGCGAATATCGTCATAGGAACTCCGAAATGAGGAAGGAATCTTCTGCAGAAGTGACCTCCACTTTTCCTTCCGAGCGTTCGAATCATGCATCCGCACGCATTTTATTTCCTACGAATCGAACAGTCACAGCGAGGGAACAATCGAACATCTCGATCTCGGAGAGTTCTTAAATTGTCTTAAAATACTCGCCAATTTCCATTCTGATGTGTTTTTATCTTGTCGTTCTTGAAAAACGAAAAAGTTTTGTTTTCTCAGGGAGAAAGTCAACCGAGGGGGTTGACCCTTTTTATCTTTTCTATGGAGGGGGATTGTAGGGAGGGAGATTACGGGGGGGGGAATGCGTAGAAACAGGTTCGGATAAGCACATGGCAGTTCGCGAGAGCAAGTAGACTCAATTCGTTCGCTCAGTGGAAAGGAAGTGGTGAAAGTTTGCCCGCAGAGCGATTTCCACCGCAGAGAAACAGTCACAGTTAACGAACGGCATGTCGACTAGCGTGTGCCATAGCCAGCTGACACTCACATCGGAGCCGGAAAAGTTCAGGTGAGTTTAGTTTCGCTGTTAAGAATGAAGAGCACGTGAGACAAAGCGGTTACAAGTCACGCAAACTGTTGCTCAGATTTTACTTTAGGCGGAATGTCTTTGTTTATCCTATTAGGACATCAAATCGCGCAGATTATGCAATAAATACATTTTTATTTGCGGCTGTGATTAGTTTTATCATTTCGGCACGCAAAGGAGATCCATTTATGTTTCTCGTGTTTTGATAATTTTTATTTGTTTTGGTAAATTATTTCTCCGTAGGCTTCATACACGTAACCCAGACCTTGTCTTTTATTAACAGCAATTAATATTAATTCAGAAGTCAAACAACAAAAATCTTGTTTCCTATCTTGTTCATTTGCGGTTTTGCAGCTGAAGATGATGGTTCGGTAAAACCATCGAAACTAGTCCTGTGAAAATTTTGTAAATTAACGCTGATTTTTGTTGTTTGACTTCTGAATTAGTATTTATTCGGCGTGTTATTGTGTCTTAAGCAATTAATATGTTACACGTTTTAAATGGTTTTAAAAATATAAATTGGAAGATAAGTTTGGATACATTACCAAGTGAATATGTCATCTCAAAAATAAATTAACTGACTTAAAATATTAGGCATTTCTAATCGTGTTCTTAATGTGTTTTTAACAACTTGGTCGTAAAACTCTGTTTCCAAGCATCTATTTTTATTTCACAGTAAATTTTTGTTTATTTACAAGAGGTGTTTGAAGCCATATGAGGAAGATAAATAACTATAATTTGTGATGTAAAATATCAGTTTCAATTGACAAAATATCATAAAAATAAAATATATAATATATAAGATTTATTTAGTATGTATGAATGATCAGTTCAATATTTTATTAACCAGGATGTTGTCACTGACAGTTGTCAAAATATTATCCAAAAGACAAATGGCTCACTCCGTTGCATCGATAAATAATAGAATATTTCGATTCGAAAGGTATATTAAATTTATATAATTTTATCTTCCGTGATATAGAAATTTATCGTTGATGACTTTAAGCTAAGTATTGTGCATAGAGACATTAGATGTATTTATTTAGACTAGAGAGATGCTAATATTCTGCTGTAAACAGAAATCTAAAATTATCTAGCATCAGTTCTTGGACAAAAGCTGATGTTAGATAATTTAAAATTTTATTTAAGAATTTTAAATCTAATTTAAGAAAATTTTAAAGTTGCTCTCATGTAAATATATTCTATTTTATTTAAATTAATACCTTAATGATTGAAAAGTATGGCAATAAGTAATCAGAAATAATCGTCAAAGTACACGTAAATGCTTCAAGTAAACACTTGTTACGCCTTTTATGCATTTGTGAAATTGACATCTGGTTTGAGAATAGAAGTTATCAGCAACACAGTGAGAATGACAGAAAGAACGAATGGGAGAGAAAGATGATGCTTGAAATGAAAAGAAAGAATGTTGATTCAGATTAAAACCTCTGAGTAATCAGGTGGCTCAGCGTGGGCCTGATTAAATTGCCCTAAAAACATTTGTGCTAATTGAAGAAGCATTAATAACAGAGTATTTCTGATTGCGTTGAAAGTTTGTGAAATTGCATCTATATATACTGTTATTGTATGCAATTCCAAGTAGCTCTCGAACGGTTGGTCGTAGACCCATAATTTCAGTTTAAAAAATCAGACTTTGGCTATCTTGGTTTGTTTCAGACATCGAGAGTTTTAATCATTGACACCTTTTACTGAAACGTACGAAACTCAAACTTTCATACAGGCACCATATAGACTGTGTTCTGTTTACTAAGTTACTTCTTACGCTACTTTTTAAAGAAAACTGGGTTCTGTAACTTGCAGAACTTATGTTCCTAAAAGTTATTAAAATTAGATTTACTTTTAATACAAAAAATAAGTTCGAAATTTACGGGCACGCGTTATATGCCGGATAAAAATTTATAAATTTAAAAATAAACAAAAGAGCTTACAAAAAATAGATCTTCTACACACACCTAGGTGTTGTTTATTTAAAAGAAATGACATAGCTTATGAACATATCCACCATTTCACACCGCTTACGGGGCCTACCAACGGCCGAGTAGTAAAATCGTTGAACACTGGTAGTTCGCTCCGAGGTTCGAATCTCGTGAACGGGCTGGCTGCATGGACCTTTTATAGTGGCTTTCTCCCTGTAATAAGGTTTATATGAGCCAGTTTCCTCTAAAACGTCCTCCACGAAGGCGTCCCTGCCCTTAGAAAGACAAACCTTGAGTGCTTTCCCATATATAATCGAATAAACTCAAAAAAATTACATTCTGACACCGTCTTTCTTTTAAAAATAACCAAGTGTTTTAATTTTTGTTTGGTTTGGTTTATTTAATATGGTGTATTTAATTATGGTAAAGCACACTAGGGCTATCTGCCTAAGGGGAGGGATGCCTTCGTGGAGGACTTTCTAAGGGAAACTGGCTCGTATACACGTTACACATGGGGAAAACCACGAAAACGCCCATGCAGCCAGCCCGTTCACAGGATTCGAACCTCAGACCGAACTACCAGTGTTCAGCGACTTTACCGCTCGGCCGCTGATGGGCTCGTAAAGAAAAGGATGCGCGTTATATGGCGAAGGTACCTAAAATTTAAAAAATACAGTTTTTAAATTACAGGTGCTTGGTATACGCCGGAATATATGGCAAGCAACTCTCTATAAAATTTCTATTTTAGGGGAAGTAAGAAAATTGAATTATGTCAGATATAATTTTTTTGATTTTAACATGTCTAGAAAGGGAAATCTGAAACTCACATGCGCTTTTGTTTGCCTAACATGAAAGGTAACTTTTAGAAAGTAGCATTCGAAAGCTTTTTTGATTAGCTTTCTTTAGAGATAGTATACAGAACTCAGAAATTTTATTTAATCTGGGATATCAAAATTATTTCACAAATTTAATATGTGGCGTAATTTTAGTAACATTACGATTTTATAACTAACTCACCCTCTTTCACTTTCACACATTTTTTTTTTTTTTTTTTTCTGTGGGTCCGCATAAATATGAGTTTTGTGTTTTATTATTATTATTATTATTATTTTTTGCAAGTGTCATATGATCAAAACTATCTCACTATAAAAGTATATTCGTTCACACTGGGACTTCATGTCTAAAATTAGAAACAGGGGTCTACTCACTAATCATTAAAGAGATATTTTGTCGTGTGCCATCTTGACATACGCTGTGAACATCTAATTAACAAAAAAAATCATAGTTAAACCTATGGTAAATTTCTTTACACCTCCATCTTCTAACCAAAAGTAAACAGGCAAAACACTAACAGCAGAGTTAGCTTTTAAAGCAATTTTTTAATATTTTTATTTCTTTATTATTATTATTATTATTACGATTTTTTTCTCCTTCTTTGAGAGCAATATAATATGTTTTTGAAAAGGGAAAGTGCATTTCTTTTTGTTGAAAATATTTTTAACTTTCACTTTAATCAGTAAAAAGGAAGCAAAAGCTAATGCTTCCTCTTTTCATTGTTTGTTAATTTTTTTTTTTTCATCTAGTTAAGTGGAGTGTTTTCAGAAAAATTTCTGACTCTTTAACTCATTTCAGTTCTCTCGAAATTCATAGAAGCTTTTCGATGAAAGTAGCCTCAATCGAGTTTTATTTGATTTTAATATTTTAATTTTCAAGTTGACGTATTTCTCCATGGGTTATTTGTTACTCTGTCGGTATTCTCTTATTCCTTTTATTTTGTTCTATTTCTCATGTATGCATTTTTCAACTTAATTAGGGGATACTCAACTTAATTAGGGGGTAATTAAAATTAGGGGATACTCCGATACATTTACTTTGAACAAATCATAGCAATACTTTTTTCTTTTCTTTTCTTTCTTCTATTTATTTGTTTATTTTATGAATTTCTATTAATGCCAAAGCAAATCAAATTATGATTCTGCAGCATATAAAGCGAATCAAACTGTCAGCCTGCATTACTCGGGTCATTTTCTGATTAATCTAAACCAGGGCTTCTTAAAGTCTTTTCAATCGCGACCCTTTCTTATCACTGATATTTTTTTGGCGACCTCCCAGATATTAAATATAAAATAAAGATATAAAAATAAATATCCTTCCGTAAATAATTTACTTCTTTGGTAAACAATATACATATAAAATGAAGAATTTTAAGATTTATTTTAAGCAAACAAAAATTAAAGAAAATTCTGATGAGACAGATGTATTTTGTTATTGTTATTTGTTTTGGGCAACTATTGGCTGAGGGGAAAAGAATTATCATTTGTCTTCAAGACACCCCTACGGAAAATGAGTCAAGGCTCGTTTCTACGGCAACAGACAGCTGCAGACTAACTGGCGAGAGCTTTTCTTATGATAGACAGACTGCGCTTCCCCTCCACTCTTCTTTGTAAGGTTGTTTCTTTATATACTATAGTGTTTATCAAAGGAATTCTTTAAAAATAGCCGTTAAAAACATGGAGCGCAAACGGGCTTTGTGCTCTACTGATTAAAACTGTCAAATCTGATTCGGGAATAGGCTAAACCGTTACTAAACTATGAGGGGGGGCTAGATGTTTTCTGTGTTCCCCGACATGGTAAATATCAGGTGTCTCTCATATTTCTTACTGTACTCATGTCTCTCAAAATAAAAGAACGACCGATGCAACGACGATCAATAATCAATGAAGTTTATATATTGGATAAACACAAAGATCCATAAGGGAAGCAGAACTAGTAATTATCTGCTTAAAAGAATACTACCAGTATTTTCTGAAGTATTACATCATTTCTAAAATCTATATTCACAACTTATTGTAATGTGGAAAAACATTTTGTTATTGCTGAAATCATTAAAAATAAATAAATAAATAAATAAATAAAAAATAAAAGAAAAAAGAGAGGGAAGGGGAGAGCATTATCCCAGCCTGTTTTTCTCTTCCCAGAACTTTGATCAGTTCCACGGCAGGGCATACAACCCATGACTTTCCTTGTCCACGCGATGAGACGGCT